CATAGCCTCCCCCATTATCAATATCCCACAGAGTGATACATTTGTTACAATTAATGAATCTCACTGACACATCATTATCACACAAAGTCCATAGCTTACATGAGAGTTGACTGTTGGTGTACATTCTACAGGTTTGAACAAATGTATTATGACATGTATGCACCATTATAGCATCATACCGAGTTGTTACTCTACCCTAGACATCCTCTGTGTTCCACCTATTCATATCTCCTTCTCACTAATCCCTGGCAAAATGCACAGATTTTAACTGCACAATTCCAGTTTTTTTCCAAGGACCTAGTTTGGAAGTTTCCAAAACATAAAGCAAAAAGAAAAAGGAAAATCATAAGAGAAAACTTAAGAGATAAATCCAGTCAATGACAAAAAGTTTACTCGGAATTCCAGGAGTTAATAAAGAGGAAAGAAAGAAAAGAAAAAATAGAATATATTATAAAAGAAAATTTCCCTAAATTCAAGATATGGAACTTTGTTCAAAAAGGCCTAATAAATGTTGAATAAGATTAATAAAAAAAATACATGTACGTGTCTTCATACATTATGGTGAAAATTCTGAACTCTATGAAAATGCCACAATCTTCCAGAAAGAAAAAACAAGAAATGAGCAAAAGAACAAAAATGGATTAATATTAAGTAACAATAATATAAATTCATATATTTTTGAGCTTCAGCCTCCAAATGACAAGAAAAAGAAAATATTTTAAAATATATATCATAAACATGAACATATGCTTTTATCATTAAAAGAATACAAAATAATTCTGTATTTTATCATATTGATATAGACTGATAAGTTTGATAACAAAGTTGATGAGGTGCAAACAGGCAATTAATCAGTTAACAGTATAAATAGGTATAAAACTTTTAGAAGGGCTATTTGGCAATATTATCACACTTTAAATATACATTTTCACCCAGAAATTTCACCTCTAAAATATATCTGTATATATATATATGTGTGTGTATATATATTATACATATATACGTAATTTGGGAGTGAAAAGTTTGGGGAAAACAAACCACCAAACTAAAAACCTTAAAGAACCTAACTAGTCATCGGTATTATCAGTGTAAGACTGGTAGGTAATTTTACCAAATCCATACAATGGATTCTGATAGGCCTAGCATGGACCTGGTGTTCACTCTCACGGTGGTTCAAGCATGTGCAGTGGAGAATGGAGAAAGTAGGGGGTGCGGCAACTGAACGCAAGAAAAGAGTCATGGAAAGACAGTTTTGTTTTGACAATTTCACCAGCTTCACCAGAACACATCAATAAGGGAAGATGAGTTTCCTAAAAGAATATTATCAGAAGGGGGCAGAGGCACAGAGTGTGCAAAAAGAACAGCTGTTTATGACAGTACTGACTGAAGTTCCTGCGCAGTATCAGTCTTGTTCTCACAGTGGTAGTGACAGTTGTCTGCACGTTTACTGAGGGCCTGGTAAGGGGATCACTCCCAGATTTATAGAGCAGCAGGGAGGACATGTCTGTGTTCCATGTGGAGTCAGTAAAGGTAGCTCAATTTGGGGCTAGGGAATGCACTTCCAACATAGCTTACATACCTGGTTTGCAAGTTGGTGCTGTCGACTGGGAGTTCGGCCTAAATGGAGAACAACAGGTCTTAGCTACCCTCTAGGTAGTTCTTCCCTTAGTACATGGGACTCAGTTCCGCAAGTGACTCTCTCAAGAGACATAAGTGACCACTGACAGATTCTTAAGACCTTAGTCCAGTATCACCTCAGTTTAATTCTCCTGATCAGACATAGAACCTAGATTCAAGGAAAGAAAAATGACAAAGACTTTGGAAGCTACATTTTAAGACTGACACATCAGATTCAGGAAGAACAATTTCAGTTATTTATGTGTCCTCTAAAAAGCCTTGAGAATTTACATATTACATTAAGTGTGACCAACTGACTTACTATATGTAATAATATCTGGCATCACATTATATTGCCTTTTACACTAAATTAAACCAAGATTGCACTATATTCCGTATCAGAATTTCATGACCCATCCTTCACCTCCAGCCTACTTTTGGTCAAAATTCAGTTCCTAAAAGAGAGGACTTACCAAGAGGGATTTGGTCTCTTGTTGATGCAATAGTATCAATTGGATGTAAGCTCTGTAAAGCCATAAAGTAACATTTAAACTCTGGCAGATAGTGGAGAAATGCATAAAGAATGAGGATAATCATAAATATCATGAGACATTTATCTATTTGTATCTAAGATTTTAGTCAGAGAACACCTAACCAGAATAAATAACAAGGATCAATATGATCAATTCTAGGTAACCAAGTAGCTAATTTCTTTAAGAATTAACTATCTTTTTTTGATGGATACAAGACATATTAGATAGTATATGGACTCCCTTGGCTGGCCTATAAATAGTTGAGGGTGATTATATTACTTTGGATGACTTAGACAACACATTTATAATAGTCTGTTGAATTTCTTACTTTGTTCTTTGTGTCTGTCAGTATGATCACATATTTTGGTTAGAAACTGCTAGTCACTGTATACCCCTGTGTACTGTACTCCTCTTGGTAAATTAACTGAGGTTTTAAAAACAATGAGATTTTGAATATTTGAAAAGGCAGGATGACCTGTCCAGAGTACAAGTCATGGTTAATGTGGTAAGTACATGAGATGCACCTCCACCTTTGGCACCTCCACTTGAGTTAAGCCAGAAATGTACCATTTCCTTAATGAATATTTCTCAACTGAAAAAATTCTTCAAACTGCAAATAAATTATTACAATTTTCTGAATAATTGAAGAAAACTTCCCTGAGCTGAAGAAAGATTTTTATTTTCAGATTGAAATGATTCACTGATCCCCAGTTTTAGGGTTTTAAAATCTATCTGCAAATTCTTTGATGCTCCTCCCTTCAAGAAGGAATTTTATTGTCTTTTCCTTCAGTGTATGCTGATTTAGTGACATGCTTCTAATTAAGAAAATATGGTAGAAGTGTGATAGTATTTTTGAGGCTCTGTCAGAAAAGCATTGTAACTTCCTCCTTACTCTTTCTCATAGATCACCTGCTCTGGGAGAAGCCAGCTGCCCTAACACCTAAAGCAGCTCTATACAGAGATTCCATGGCAAGGAACTGAGGCCTCCTGCCATAGCCATGTGAGTGACCATCTTGGAAGTGGATCCTCCAGCCCCAGTCAAAAGCTCTGATATCTTCACTGCAACCTCGTAAGAGATCCTGAGCCAGAATCATCCAGTTAGCCAGTTCTGAATAGCTAACAGCAACTGTGAGATAAAATGTTTGTTGTTTTAAGGTGCTAAATTTCAAAGTAATATGTAACCCAGCAATATATAATGTATTAAGATTAAAAAAAAGAGCACATCCAGAAATTAAAACCTTGTAAGCATCAGACAGAACAAGCTGCTTACAAAGAAACAAAATCAGATGAAAATTGATTTCTTCTTAGTAATAGTGGAAGCTGAAAGTCAACAACTACAGTGTTTTGACAAGAAAAGATTCAGATTACCTATACATCCTATCTTTAAAAATAATGGGAGAAATTCTCTACCTATATTAAAAATGGAAAAGAATTTAATCATGACTACACCAAGATCTTATGGGCAAGATAAACAGTACAGAAAAAGCTATTTAGCAATATTTAAGTTAAATATAACTAAATGGAGACAGTATGAGAATTTTAATGTGTTGTAAAACCAGTCTTGAAATAGAAATAATTTCCATTTATATAGCTAAGTATTAAACTTTCTAATACATAATTCATCGCTCAACAAATTTTTACATGTAACTTACTATGCATACGTACTTTAAATAAAGTTTCAGCAAGTTCATGGACCTTTAAAGCCCACAAATGGAACCTCTCGAGACCTATCATTCCTTGGAGTTCTAAAAAATTTCCTGAAACATTGTATAAAAAAATTTTCAGAAATGTAGTATTTATAGTTTGGTTTCCTGTCTAAATTCTAAGCTACATTTAACATTAAAGTGTGTAACGTTTTGTAGTCAAAGTTTAAGGTCCATTTTTAGGAAACCAACGTTTTTTTCTTAATCATTTTAAGATGGAAGAGTTATTTCAACATTGGACTCTTTGGAGGAGGCCAGCAATAACACCTCTTAAACGGTGTGAGGTTTGGCATGTCTCTTATAGGTGTTTTTTTTTCAGTATTTATAGTTATCCAAAGAATATATATGTTACCTGAAAAACTTTTTATAGATCGTTATTTTCTATACATTACAAATAACGCTATTGGTCCCCTAACGTTATTCTCTCTTATTTCAATGATGCATACATATTGAGTTAACATGAACAAAATTTTAGTATTTGGCTTTTACAAAACCGTTAACGGTAGCTCGAAAAGTGTAATGTAACGAGTTCTATAATTCCAATCCACCCAACATAACTAGTCACCCAGACCCGTTTCCCTCCTCTTCTTTCACCACATTGGGAAAAAGGGACTACAGAGAAACCTAGCGCCTCTTGAGAGCCTAGCGCCTCATTACAGAAACATGTTCGCACAAGACACCTTTTTCCATTTAGCCAGGCCTTTCACTACCCTTTTTGAGACACAAAGCGCCCTTTGCCTGCTAATAAGGCAATTTCGTAAACTTCAATCCTCCTCCGTATTTCTGCCTAGCCCATGAATGCAGCGGCGTCGCACAATACCCAGCCTGGAGCTTGCGCTTTGCCCAGCTACGGCAGCTTCAGAGGCTGCACCGTTATGTCCGCCAGGGCGCGGGCGCCGACTTGGCGCCAACCGCCCTCACGTGGGCGCGCAGGTCCAATCACCGAGGCCCACGCTTTCCAGTTGGCCGCATGCGCTCACAGAGCCGGCGCTCCCGCGGCGCCCGGCTCAGGGCGCATGGTGCTCCCCCGTTAATCTTCCCATGAGGTCCCGGCCACCAGGGTTGCGGGTTCCTATCCAGCCTTGTTTCTGAACTCGGCCATGGGAGCGTGTCCTGATTGGCTTTCCCCGGCGGGGACAGGACTCATTTGAGACCAGGACCACTTCCGGAAGCGCGAGGCCGGAAGTTATCTGGTATCTCTGGAGCCCGGGGTACAAAGTGTAGTCGGCTTCTTTGGTGGCCGTGAGAGCTGGCGGTTGGTCGGGAGACTAGCCGCTCAGTCTCGCCGCTGCTTAGGGGCGCGGTTCCGTCGTAGCACCACGGCCCCTTCCTCCCAGCCCCGAGCCCGGCGCGGCTGCCCGGGAGGCTCCTTCAGATTCCTTGACGCCGCGCCAAGGGGCGCCTACCTGGCATCGCCTGGGCCTCCAGCCAGGGGACTGGCTCCCAGTTTCAGCACTCCAGGCCACAGTAAGAAGTGCCCTTATCACCCTGCGCCCTGTCGCCCTCCCTGAACCATCGGGACTCTGGTCCAGAGCGACAGCCTCGGACCTGGGACTAGAAGGATCCAAGACGCTCAGCCTTGGCCCCCCACAGACGGAGCTCTGCATCGTCTCCGATATGTCACCCACCATTTCCCACAAGGACAACAGTCGGCAACGACGACCAGGGACTTTCAACCATTCTCTGGATATGAAGAGCGGTCCTCTGCCTCCGGGGGGCTGGGATGACAGACATCCGGACTTGGTGGGGGTGGAAGGGGACAAAGAAGCTCTTCTGCGGGATACCGACTCTGGTGATTTCTCAAAAACCCCACGGAGCTGCCGGGCCGAATTAAGCAGCATTTTGCTGTTGCTTTTTCTTTACGTTCTTCAGGGCATTCCACTGGGTCTGGCGGGAAGCATCCCACTCATTTTGCAAAGCAAAAATGTTAGCTATACAGATCAAGCTTTCTTCAGCTTCGTCTTCTGGCCCTTCAGTCTCAAATTGCTCTGGGCCCCGTTGGTTGATGCTGTTTACTTTAGGAACTTCGGACGTCGAAAATCTTGGCTTGTCCCTACACAGTATACATTGGGACTCTTCATGATATATTTATCCACTCAGGTGGACCGTTTGCTCGGGAACACTGATGGCCGAAACCCCGATGTCGTTGCTCTTACCGTGACTTTCTTTTTGTTTGAATTCCTGGCTGCCACTCAGGACATCGCTGTGGATGGTTGGGCGTTAACTATGTTATCCCGTGAAAACGTGGGTTATGCTTCTACTTGCAATTCAGTTGGCCAAACAGCGGGCTACTTTTTGGGCAATGTATTGTTTTTGGCCCTTGAATCCGCCGACTTTTGTAACAAATATTTGCGGTTTCAGCCTCAATCCAGGGGAATCGTTACTCTTTCAGGTAGTGTATTTAAACTATTACGCTGTTAGATTTATTATTTTATGTCTATGAATACTTTTGACAGCGTGTGTGATGTTGGAGGAAAGCTTATTTAATTTACTGGAAGTCATTTCATGAGAGATTACCTAGGTAAGTTTTCTGTTATACTAAAATGAGCTCCAGCCAAAATGACATTGAAGCAATCAAAAATTGGCCATTTACTGCAGTGAGCAGGGAGAGGCAACCCATTCAGTAACATTGTTGGGTAGTGGCAAACAGCACTCTCAGTCTAGGGATCCGTTGGCACTTGCTTGATAGAGATGCACATATTTTATTAAAGTCTGGCTAGTATGAAGACACAAATCCAGTCTGACTCCCATGGATCACATTTCCCTTTTTTCTTTTGTTGGGTTGAGATTTCTAGCTCCATGCTTTCTGGTTCATTTCTCCCCCTACTTTTATACCAGGAGTCTTCTAGCCTTGCAGTTATGCAATAGGTTTAATTCATTCAAGCATTAATAAGTTGGCTGAATGACAGAGTTCTCGGGATTTCCTATGAATAAAGCAGTCCCACCGACAAGGAATAGGAGAGATGAACATTTTAGGGGAGCTCAGGGTTGCCATCCATTAACTGCTTGTGGGAGTCAGCCTTCATACATAGATAACACTTGACTTTCTTGAATTACAAGATTGCAAGAAGTGGATAAGTGGAGTTCCACGATGCACAACACCAGGTGAAAATGCACTGAAACAGCAAAGTACAAAAGATTCAGGACAGTGCTTATAGTGTTGATAGTACCTGAAGCCATAATTGTGGGGACTGGGTTTGGGAAATGGTGCTGAAAGAAAGGTTGCAACCAAATTAGTAAGATTTCTTTCAATTGTTGTGAGAAAGAGTTTGAAGTTTCTCCAGTAAGAAATTTGAAGTTCTATAACATTTACCCTTTTTCTGCATGAGTAAATACATGTCCCTGTAAAGTGTTATGAGTGTCTTTAAGAAAAAACTTTACTAACAACTAAAACAAGTAAGATTACCAAATATTAGGAACAACCAAATCAGGAATATAGTAGAATTCTGCATTCCGGTAGTGATGATTAATTTAGGTGATTCTCTTTTGAAATTTAAACAGTTGGATTTACTGTTTAGTATCTTCCCAGTACTAGTTTGAGGATTCTCAACAGAGTAAAAATCAGGGGTAGGTATATGGTGAGGAAAGTGTAAGTGTAAGGGTTATGTCATAGTATTTCGTGAGTGGGGGCAGATATGCAGTTGAAATCTTACCACCCTCTCTACACTCCTAGACCCTGTAAGGAGCCCCCTTTATACCTCTTCAAAACTGCTAGTGAGCCACTAACTGATGAAATGATAAATCTATTTTTACTCAGTCAGTTTGAGTCCAAAAATGATTGAGAGACACTGCTTTGTACCAGACAGGTTTGTCTCTGGGTGTTCTGGGGTCCCACTCCCGCTTTATGGATAAATTTTCTGTCGAGAAATACTTTGTGAATGCATCATATCAGCACCTTGCTGCTTTTCATTTTGTACTGGGACTGTTCATTTCACAAAGGAGGACTAGTGCAATGATAGGTTATTTAACATGGGGAAGTCTCAGTAGAGAAGTCAAGATTTAAGGGGCTATTGAAACTAAATTACTTACTAGGTGTATTAGAACTTTCTCTTAAGTATGATGTAAGTGATTGATAAAACATCATTCCAGAGAATGCCATTATGCATACAAGATAATGATATCCTAACTTAGCCACAACTATTCCCTACTGGGAAAATCAAAATTGTGCCATTGGATTTTTGTTTACACTGACTTTTTATTTTGAATAGCTGTTTGGTCTGTGATAGTTGAACTTTGTTCTCTAGAAAGTTGTAGAAATAGCTTAGTGTTTAAATTTCTATCTGTAGTGGACTGCTGTTTTTGGTTTAAACATTTTAGTAAAAGAGTTGAGTTCCTGCGTTTTCATTCTCCATCTTATGACTGCACATAACACATTTAGTTTTGTACTTTCTAGAATTTATTAATAGTACAACTAAGAAAAGCCAGTGGTTTTCAGGAATTTTTAAAAACGTAGAATTATGAAGGAAATACAGTTGCTTAGGTTATAAATCAAGAGCCAAATACTAAGGCAGATGTTTAGAAAATCAGAAAATTGAAAGACATAATTTGTTAAATTCTCAAATAATATTCTGTGATTAACATTTTTAGTTACAGATGCATAGAAATGGAATATATTGAGAAAGAACAATTTTTGCCTTCTAGAAAGCAATCTAAATAGTAATTTAGAACAATAAGGTAAGATGAGAGTAAAATGAGACACAAAACTTTGATTATGCTGATTGGCTTTTGGGTACCTTCAGGGATCCAGGACAGTAGTAAACCCAGAAGTGGCTTTTTCTGTGCTGCCCTGTTTGGTTTTCAAAGATCTTTAGTAGCAAAAAGAGACCACCTTTTAAGCTGCAAGGAAGGATTCAAGTAACCCAGAAGAACGTAGAGATGAGAACATAAAGTTTTATGACTTGAGAGGATTGTATATTTCAATTCCTTCATTCAGTTTTTTTAATAATTTAAGATCCAAATTTTTAAAAATAATAAAAGATTCTAATTTTTATTTTTATTCTGGTAGTGACTGAACCAGTTTACATTCCCACCAACAGTGCATGAGGGTTCCCTTTTCTCCACATCCTTACCAATACTTGTTATTTTTGTCTTTTTGATACTAAGTATTCTGACTGGAGTGAGGTGATACCATTGTAGTTTTGATTTGCCTTCTGAAGATTAGTGAGGTTGAGCATCTTTTCATGTGTCTGTTGGCCATCTATATGTCTTCAGAAAAATGTCTATGCAAGTCCTCTGGATTTTTTAACTGGATTTTTTTGGGGGGTTATTGAATTGTATGAGTTCTTTATATAGTTTGGGTATTAATCCCTTGTTGGATATATCATTTGCAAATGTGATTTTGCATTTGGTGGGTTGCGTTTTCATTTTTTGATGGTTTCCTTTGCTGTACAGAAGCTTTTTAGTTTGATGTAATCTCACTTGTTTATTTTTATTTTATTTTCCTTACCTAGGAAGATATATCCAGCAAAAAATTTCTAATGCAATATTCAAGAGTTTATTGCTTGTTTTCTTATAGGAGTTTTATGGTTTCAGGTCTTATATTTAGCTCTTCAATCCATTTCTAGTTTATTTTTGTATATGGTATAAGATAAGGCTCAGTTCATTAATTTTATAGGTGAGGAAACTGAGGTCAAGTGGTTAGAGTATTCAAGAGAAGCTGAAAATTACTCTTTTGTTTATGGGCTAATTTTAAAAACACTTTTTAGACTCATATAAAATGTCTTTAGGCCACTCCTAGCCTGTTAACTGGTAGTTGAGGCCTGTTCCTCTAGAAGCAGTGTTAATGAACAGAAATGATTGGGATATATAAAAGAACAGGATATTTGGGTTTGAGGGCAGGGAGCAGGTTAGTCTGATACAGGAGAAGGGAGCTAAATATATTAGATCTTATAAATCAGTTTGTTTATAGTTAGGCAAGCACATATAGGAGCCAGTAAGAGAAAAAGGACATGCTGCTTTGAAAAACTGATTTCTCCAAGTATGAAGCTAATCAAACAGGTGATGATAATAGTAAAAACAGTATTTGTAAGACATTCGTGCTTTGAACTAGGAAGCAAGTAGAACCAAATAATTATTACATTACAGACAGATTTCTTTGTCTTTCTTGAAGAAGTACTCAATATATTTTATGTGACTAGAAATGCTGTTTAGAATTTGGGGAGCATTAACTGACCCATTTTAGGTAAGCCAGTTATTCTTCTGTAAGCTGTGATACATTCTTTAGCATCTATATTTAGGTTTAAAACATTCTCTTACATTCTCAAAAGATAAAATTATAGAGATAAAGAACAGATCAGTGGTTGCTAGGGATTGTGGGTGAGGAGGAGTCTATAAATGGATAGCACAAGGGAGATTTGGGGAGTGATAAAACTGTATCTGGAGTATGGTGGTCTGAAATTTATACACGTGTTAAAATTCATAGAAGTGTACACCAAAGAACTTAGTTTACTGTATAATCATTTAAAAAGTAAGATTTATGAAAATTTAAAAAAAGCGAACTCATTACCCTTAAAAGTTCATCTCTGGGTAAGTATCATACAAAGTATATAATATAAAATCCTTGAGTTTAGCTTCCCTTTTGGCCTTGAATGGAACGGTTCATAAATTAGGTGATGGTTTTTACATCTCAGTATAGACAAATGGAGAAAATTTTAATTCTAAATGTTATGGCTGTGGTAGTAAAGTGAGATAAATGGGGTAATACTGGGAAGGATTAGGTATTAAAAAAATGGAGCCCACACCCCAGAAGAAAGATCTTAAAGCCTTTTTTCTAAAACAAAGCAAAAGAGAAATGGTACTGTGTGCTTTCTTTGTCCAGTAAAGAACTGCAAAAGTGCTTTTGTATGAAGAGTCAATTTACAAAATACACTGCGGATCAAAACATTTCGTTTGGCATATATTTTACTCTGAATTTTATTCTGATTTTATTCAAATGTAATTAGAGACCAGTTGAATTGGCTTTTATTATGTAAATTTACCATATGTATACAATTCATTAAGAGTTTCTTAATTTCATTGATAGCTTTCCTGAAAACTACAATTTAATTTGAGAAAGCAAAATAAACTTACCTAATAAAAGGAGTTCTGTTCCTAGAGAATTAAAAATATAAAACCACTGATTTCACCTGTTGTTTTAGGCATAATTTTGGATAAATACAGCATTTTATACATGTTCTTTAATTTCATTTTTTTTAAACATTCCATTTTTATAATTTGGGGTTTATATTTTACATTGTATACAATATATTAATGCAATCTATACATAAGTGTTCATGCTGAAACATTTTTATGGATGGGGTACTATTCAAAAAGCAAGATGTTACTTTTCACTATTTCCATTCCTTAGTTCAGTGTCATCTCGTTTTTTTTTTAATTTCATTCATTCCCCTCACT